AAAAAGTTCTGGAGATGGACAATGGTGATGGTTGAACAGTGGGAATATATTTAATGCACTGAACTGGTACATTTAAAATGGTTAAAATGGTCAATTTGATGTTACGTATATTTTATCACAAGAAAAATAAGGGAGGAAAAGTCTATGGGGATTTAAATAATATAACTAAGTCTTTGTTTTGCTAGGGAACTCCCACTAATATACAGGACATTAAAATATCACAAGAATCTGGTCCTTGGGTCATTTTCGCCTTAGGATAGCACTTTTTGAAAGGCAAACTGTGTTAGAAACTCTTTCAGAATCCTGAAAGCAATGTTAAGGTTAAGTAGCCCCGCTGACACTTACTGTGGGGATGGACACCACCTGGGAGTTGAGGGGAGGGAGAAAACGAAGGAGATGTTGTTCAACCTTCTAAATGGTTGTCTTCCAAACACACAGAGACCTCAGGAGAGGCAGAACCTCAGGCCTCAGGGATGGTCCCACGTCATTAACTACTGATTTGTTTCGTGTAAGGTTGAAAGGAAAAAAATCCTTAGAAATGGATTGTCTAGATGTCTGAGATAAGCACAATGTTTTAAAGATTAAAAAAGCATGTCATTAAAATCTGTTGATGCTTAATCTGGTGACTCACCTGGCCTTTAAAAAGAAAACAACTATTTAAAAACAAAAACAAAAACAAAAAACATCCAAAGTGGAGGTATGGCAGTAGGGACCCTTATATCCCCCTAATTAGCTCGAATAATGATCGACTTCTGGCCAGTCTGGCCACATGCCTCCTGCCTCCCCTCAGATTAATTTGAAGCAAATCGCAGACATTATACCATTTCATCCACAAATATTTCACCATGAGTCTCTAACAGAACTGTTTTCAAAACATACCTGTGATGCCATTATCATGCCTAATAATTTACCAATTTGTTAGTAGAACTGAATGTACCTCCTGGCTATTTCTTTTTAAGTTTATTTATTTATTTCAGTAATCTCCACACCCAATGTGGGGCTTGAACTCATGACCCTGAGATCAAGAGTCACACGCTCTTCTGACTGAGCCAGCCAGGTGTCCCCCTCCTGGCTATTTTTAATGATGGTTTTGATAAGCTTTGCCTCATTGATCCAATGAGTACAGGGAAGCAGAGGAACACAAGGCAGCTGCCGTTGGCTTTGAAG